ATTATCTTTGAGGCACCAGGTGTATCATCGTGTGATCCTAAGAGTCAGGATTTAAAACAATAGTCCAGGTGGATATAAGGCGATGGTGACAGGCACGGCGGTTCAGTTGTTAGGACAAAGTCCGCAGCTTGTGCCACCGCCGGGAGCAAAAAGGCGGGGACTGGGGGCGGGGCCTCTGGGACACGCCGCCAGCGGGAGGCGGCACTCACCCCAAGCCCGCCCTCGTCCCCTGTCTCCCCGACCTCTCCCTTCTAGCAATCCCTGGGGACATGAGCCAATGCCGCAAAGCGCCTAGGTTTCAAGCGGGGGCCGGACAGGGCCAGGCCCCTCTGTTAGAAGCTGCGCAGGGATCGGAGTTGGGGTGCTGCGGACCCTGAAAAGGAGAGGAAACAGGGAGGAGGCGGGCCGGGTTAGCCGGGGAGGAGTCGCGAGGCGTCAGGTCTGGCTCCGCTCCCCGCCTCCTCCCACCAGACAGGGTTTGCTGACCGGCGCGTGGCCTCAGAGTCCCCGGTGTCCTAGAGCGGGGAAGGGCGACCGGTTCCAGAGCCCCCGCTAGGAGGCGTCCAGACTCCTCTCCGACCCTTTCCCAGCCAACATGCGCTGCAGGCGCCGGCAGCTTCGGGCCGCGTCCGCGGGGGATGCGACAAGTCTCCCTGCGGCCCTCAACCCAAGTAGACCACCGGGACCCACCCCGTCTTGCTCCCTGGCCCTGCGGGAGCAGCACCGGACGCTGACAGTTTTTATTTTATGCGACATTCAAGCGGCGTGTCCATCCCAAACTCCAGCTCCTGAGCCACGGGAGGCGTTTGTGTGACTTGGGTTTGAATCTAGCTGCTTTGCGATTTTTGCACCTTGGTTACAGGCCAAGGCGAGACTGAGGCCCCAATTTAGAGCGCTCTCCTGCCCTTCAGGAACTCAAGATTCTTATGATCTTTTCTGGGGGACTTTGCAGTGGTCATATTATGGCCCCAGGTAGGAGCAGGGCAGGGCCCTTCTTCATGATCTGGCACTAAGATTGTGGGAAGGGTGCAATCACTAAGAAAAAAGCTTCTGGTACGGGGACGAGGGTGTTGGTCACCAAGCTAAAGAGGAGGCCCCTCTGTGAGGAGGGTGAAGGCCAGGGGAAAAGCAGGGGTTGTCTGGCCCTGCCTGGCACACTCAGGTGTGTGTGGGCTATTCCCAGCCATGCATGTTATACATGTAAGTCAGGTGCAGCCTGTGTTCCTGCCACACTTTAATACTTTCAGCTAGCCTGTGAAGCAGAGTCCTCCCCTGACCCCTGTCTTCAGTCTTCTCCTCTCTGAAGTGGAGGAGACCACCCACCTCGAGGGTGGGCCTCTCAATGGGGTAAAAAGTGAAGGGTAGACCATTGTCTCCTCACAGACACAACAGGCCTGGTCCAGCTGCTCCTCTGCTCATGCAGTCTCTGCCCACCTGGTTCCCGCTTACCAAACTGAACCATTCTTCTAGGCTTATCAGTGTCTTCCTCCTGCAGGAAGACATCTCGTGACCAGCAAACCTTGCTGAGTGCACTCTTGGCTTGTCATAGTGGCCCTCCAGGCCTAAACTGGGGGTAGTTGTTACTTTAGCTCCCATGGCTGGTGGACTGCAGGTTCCACAAGGCATGGTCGTGCACCTTGGAGGAACTCAAGACCATTTGAGGGGATTACACAAATGAATACTTTCATTTAAATATTTATGGATTTTCATATCTATCAGAAAAATGTGTAAATAGCTCATAAAAATTATGATTTATTGGCCGATACTGCCAAGATGAGGCTGAAATAGGCATTAAAATGCCAGGCAAGGTGGTGTGTGCCTGTAATCCCAGTACTTGGGGAGGCAGAGGTGGGAGGATCACTTGGGGCCAGGAATTGGAGACAACATAGCAAGAGCCGTGTCTATACACAAACTAAAAAATTAACCAGGCATGGTAGTACATGCCTGTATTCCCAGCTACTCAGGAGGCTGAGACAGGAGGAGAGTTTGAGGCTGCCGTGAGCTGTGATCAGACCACTGCACTCCAGTCTGGGCAACAGGGTAAGAACCTGGCTCTAAAAAATAAAATGCCTACTTTCTAGAGAGTGAGCCATGTTAGAGAAAACAATTGCCTACGTAAAACAGTCTACATAATAAAAATCTGTTGTCTTGCTCCTCCTGGTCCTCTGGGAGTCTCTGTGGAGTCTTCCTGAAGAAGCTATAGAGGCCCTCTTCCCTTTCTTGGCCCAGGCTGGTGCCTACTGTCTCACCCCCAGCAGCTCAGGGCCCTGCCTGCCAGGCTGGGAGCCATGGCTGGATCTTGGTGCAGATTGCCTGGTGGGTGGTGAGGCCCTTTGTCATCGCAGAGGATATGCAGCAGGATGGGGAACAGGGATGAGACTGGAGGACTCCTTCCAGAATGTGGACATCATCTAGTCCTTTGATTCTCACCTCCTCTCCTTCATGCCTCAGGTGGCTGGCCCGAGAGGTCCTGAGGAGCCAGTTTGTTGAACCCTGACTAGGGTACTCCCTGGAATCCCAGTGTCCCACTCAGACACCCCACTACCACCACCAGTCAGGGCCTCCTGACTCCTCCACTTGCCTGCTGGTATGAAAAGTCTGGCCCCTCTTTCAGTTTCCCCATCTATAAATTGTCTATGGTTCTACTCAGCTGGCCAGCCCCTGCCATGTGCCTCAGTGTCACAGGACACGGTTTACTATCCCTTTCCTCACAGGCGCTATTGTGCCATCTTCCAGATGGATCATTTGAGGTTCTGAGGGGTGGAGGAACTTGCTGGTGGGTGGGACCACCTGTTACAGGCCAGCAAAGGTCAGAGGTCAGGCTACTAACGAGACCCCACAGGGTGCGCCTTCCAAAGGTGGAGGTAGGGATCAGGAGGAATGAAACACGACTCCTCTCAGAAGCTCACCAGGCCTAAGGTTTTGGACGCCCACTATACAGCGGGGAAACTGAGGCCTAAAGCAGCACCGGCGGGCCAGGGTCACCCAGCACCAGGCTTGCTCGCACCGGGCTGGGCTCGCCTGGTCTCCAGCCCGGACCCCGCCGGGCCAGCCCCTCCCCGTCCACCTCCCCCACCCCGGCCGCCGCGGCTGGGAGAGTCTAGAACAAAAGG